CTAGCTTTCACTGGCAAAATTGAGGGCAAGCGAGGCAGGGGTAGGCCCAGAGCAACCTACTTAGGGAACCCAAACAAATGGGTAACAGGGAAAGATCAGGGAAACGTAGCTTTTTTGAGAGCATCCGAGCAAAGGAATGAATGGAGAACCATGATCGCCGATGTCTGTCGCAGATCTGGCACTGGATGATGATGAATATACCAATGCTGTGTGACCCGGATAGGTGGAACACAGAAGACTCAAAGTCACGTATCATCTGTTGAACTGTGCTCGTGGTCCCACTTTTTTTTTTTCCTCTTCTTTTTCTTTGTAAGATATCCCTCGAATTACGGATCTCTCGAACAACCGAGGCCAGTCCCGACGGATTCGAGTTATCTGTGTACCTATTCTTGTGTAAATGTGAAACGTGCTGACTAAATGAGTTACTTCTCGCAATCCACCAGTGGAGATATTATTGACAAAAAATCGACACTAGGGTCAAATTTGTAGATTTTCTATTGATGCTATATTCATTAAGTATATAGCATGCCTTTTATTATTTCATACTTTTATAAATTGTAAAAACTTCACCTACAAGCGTGATGTATCTATTTCCTTAAGGCTTGAATTTGAGAAGTATCTCATTTTGTCAGCATTCTTTACAATAAATGATATACGGTATCATTGAAGTTGCATTTTTGGTGGGTTTTTTTTGTGGTTTCAGGTCATCCCACAACTACCTTCGCATCACCCGCATCCTCAAGTCCCTGGGGGAGCTGGGCTTTGAGCACTTGAAGAAACCGTTCCTGCAGTTTGTGTTGGAAGAGGCCTTGGTAACCACGCAGCTCGAAAGGACTCTAAAAAGCTGCCGCGACTATTGGATAGGAACGGTGAAAAATGACGCAGACAGAGAGGAACTGTACCGTTACATCGAAGAACATTCCTAGTCGGAGACAGCTGCAGACGATTGGTCGCTGTTAAGGACATGCGGGCTGACCCAGATTTCGTGGGTTTCCAGAAATCTTGACCTACACCAAAAGTAAACGTTGCCCTACCTATAGGAGAGGAATTGTTTCATTGGTGTGTATATTTGTTTGGTTATAGAGAAAACTCTCCTTGTCTTTTAAAGGAACTGAACAAGGGTCCAAAAACTTTACCTTTGATTTTCTCAAAGCAGAATTTTTCAGGATAGCCCCATTGTGCAAGCGACCACATGGACCTAAAAGAGGTTATGCCAAAAAATAAAAATTTCGTAAAAATTTCCAAACTGGCGGGAAAATGCCTGTTTCTCCAATTTCATTATTTTGACAAGCGCCTGATTTCCCCACGCTGCCTGACATTTTGTTGTGTCAGGGTCCATATGGAGCACACAATTCTCTCCCTCGTGTGTCGGTGGCAGCCAAGATGGGTTATTGCCCCAAAAGTCAAAATCAAAATCCTTGGTGGAAGCTTTCACACCCCGGGGCGGTCGCTGCTACTGACTGAAGTTGTCTTTAGGCCATTCCCAAAGGGGGGGGGGTGGGACATTGACTTGTTCTTATTCACAGTTGAATTGTAAATGGGCTGATTTTTCAATGTTATGCTCATAACTGTGCCTGATCTACAGCAGGGAACTGCTGCTTTTTCTTTCCTCACCCTTACTGTCGTCATTTTTCTTCTACTTCTTTTGCCATGTTAGTCACACTGTTGTTACCCACTATTTCCGGGGTGCCTTGATAGTGGAAGCAGACTTTGTGCTGTTGAAGCTAGAGAGGTGAGCAGAGTAAGCCTGATTCCCTGTAAAGACTTCTCTGTTGACATCCACCCCTTGGCGCTCATATGACCTTATGCAGTTGCGAGTGCCGTAAAAAGTCTATTAAAATTAAACTAAAAAAGGAAAGTTCCTGCCTGTGACTGGTGTCATCTGTCGTACTTTTTTGGTCTGTTGTTCATGAATGTCAGCGGGTGGTTGGTGGGTGCCCTGGTGTGGTTTGCTCCTTCTTTCCTATCAAACATCTATCGTCCTTTTCTCCCCTCTTTCTATTTTGTGTTTGTTACTCTCTTGTAACACCTCTTATCTTCGGCACTTATATGACTTTATTGTGTTGTAAGTGCCGTAAAACACTTACTAAAACTAAAAAAAAGAAT